GTCAGGGGAGGTCTGAGCTGGCCATCTTTCTGACCTCGTCTCCCCCACGGCGCCTTGATCCCTGGGCTCCAGCTGCGCTAGCCTCCTTATTGCCCCTCCGGTGCTCTGGGAACCCTGCTGCCCCAGAGCCTTTGCACTTGCTGTTTCCCCTTCCTTCCACGTGGACACGAACGCCTTCCCTCATCTCCTGAAGGTCTTTACTCAGGTGTCACCTTCCCAGGGACGTCCTTACATCCCTGCATTCCTTATCCTCCTTTCCTGCTTCTCCTCCCCGCCCCCGCCCCCGCCCCACAGCGCATATCACTGTCCAACATGCTATGTACTTTGCTTATTTACTGTTTTATCGGCCTCTTGCCTGCCAGACCCCTGGCATAGGCTCCGGGAGGGGAGAGGCTTTTGTGTGCTGACTTTCTAGTGCTTAAAACAACACCGGCCTGAACAAACACCTGCCGAACGAGGGACTAAACAGTTACATGTGATAGGAAAGACCTCTGTGATGAGAAATGATGGCTGAGAAGATGGTCCTAGAGACAGGGGGAGACCAGCCCGAGGGAACAGCATGTGCAAAGACCCCGAGGGCAGAATCACGCTCCTGAGTTACAGAAAAAGAAACAAGGTCAGGGCTCTGTCCAAGGACTCGGTTCCCCGAGCAAAGGGGACGGGGAGGAGGTGACTTTGAGAGGCTGGCAGGGACAGACAAGGTGATCCTGGTGGCCAAGGGTAAGGAAATTAGACCTTATTCTATGCTTTCTAAGAAACACTAAGTCCTCTCCGTGTTTTAACTATTTCATCTTCGGATCACCTTGGGGAGGTCGGTGGAATAATTACCCCCCTTTAACAGATGAGGCAAATAATCTCCAAGGGGCTGAGTGACGAGACCAGGGACCCACAGATGGCTAGAGGCAGAGCCATGGAGGCGGTGGGAGCCACTGGGGGATTTCTCGGCTCCACATTCGCTCCAGAGGCCCCCTGAACGTAGGCCCCGTGGCTCATGCCCCCGGGGTCCTCCCTAGATCTGGGTCCCTGCAGTCACTCGGTAATGCCTCTGTCACCGAAAGAAGGGCCCAGGGGGCCGAATCTGGCACTTGAGGCCACAACTAGGGTGGAATCTTCCCTCCGGAGCCGGGGGGCTCACCGCCCATCTCAAGAGAAGGAAAGGGGTGTGTGTGTGTGTGTGAGTGTGAGTGTGTGTGTGTGTGTGTGTGTGTGTGTGTGTGTGTGAGTAAGCTGCCCCTGCCGGCCCCTGCCTGCTCTGAATTTGGGAGCAACCTCCCCCCACCCCAACACTCAGCCCCAAAGCCTTCGCCTCAGCAGCCAGCCTGCTCGATCCAGGGCAGGGCAGAGGGTGCAGACAGCTCCCCGTCACAAAAGAAGGAGAGAGATGGGGTGTCTGCGGGTGCTATCGCTGTGCAGGGACGATTATCGGAGGCACGAGGACTCTTCAGGGTTTGGCAGAAAGTGATTCTGAAGTTTCCAAGCGGAGACCCCGGAGCCAGAGTGCCTGAGTCTGATTCCTGGCCCTACCACTAGCTGTGCATCTCTGGGTTGCTTACTGTATATTTAACCCCCTGTGCCTCAACTTCCACATCTGTAAGATGGGCTTGTAGCCTAATAGGGGTGTCATAATTCAGTGAGAAACAGTATAGTGCACCGAGAAGAAGAACAGGCTTTGGAGTCAGACGACCTAGGCTCAAATTTTGGCTGTCGCTGAACCGCGTCAGCTCAATCACGCCATTCGACTCCTCTGTGCCTCAGTTTCCTCATCTGTAACACAAGGTTAATCATGCTACCCCCTTCCTGGGGTTGTGGGGATTCAGTGAGTGAGTACATTCACGTCTAGCACACAGCAAGTGCCGAGTATTTGCTCTGCTGGTGACAGGGGAGGAGGAGGAGGGTTAATCTGCCGTTAC